CAGTACTTTCCAAGGGGACTATAGGGAGGGTCCCTCATTCCAACCTTTCCTGAGACTTCGACTCTAACTGCTTCACAGTACGAAAACAAGACAGGGGACTCAGACTGATGCTAGACTTCAGAGGCAGCAACTGTTTATCACACTGTGAAAATTTGGGATGGTCACCTTCCAGAACATTCTACCTTTCCTGCAAGGAGAAGATTGGCTAGCCTTGATTGACTTGAAAGATGCCTACTTCCACATTACTATAGACCACAATTATAGACATTTCCTAGGCTTCCAAATCGGAGATGAGATGTTTCAGTTGGGCTCTCCGCTGTCCCCAGGTCCTTCACTAAATGCACGGCAGTGGTCTGCTCACACCTGTGCCTCCAAGGAGTACAAGTCTCCTCATATCTTGATGACTGGCTCCTCAGCATGCCATCGAAGGTGGAGCTGCTACTCTCCATCCATATCACCTGCTCTCTCGTACAGACCCTGAGCCTCTGTATCAACAATGGGAAATCCATGCTCTCCCCCTCCCAGTCCATTCTCTTCACAGAGGCCTGCCTCAGCAAAAGCTCTCCTCCTGTCACCCAGAGCATCCACACTGATCAAGATGGCCACCAAACGCAGCACCAGAGCAACCATTATGGCCCACAGAATACAAAATCTGCTTGAACACATGGCTGTGACAGTGGCAGTGGTCCCCTGTGTGAGTCTCCAAATGTGACCCTTACAACTGTGCCTTGTCCACACATTCTGCACATTGGACAACCTGTGCAAAGCACACCTCAATGTCCCCCTCATCCACCAGCTGCAGTCACCACTGGTGGACCAACCCTCACAACAGGCATCAACTTCTCACTCTCAGACCCTTCAATCACTGTCACCATGGATGCATCACTACTGGGATGAGGACCACACTGTGGTGACCGGAGAAACCATGGGGCCTGGAATGAAGAAGAATCCAGCAGACACATCAGCTTCCTCAAGATGCTAGCCATCCACAAAGCCTTGACCACCTTCCAGACATCCCTACATGGATGGCAAGTCCAGACAGCCACAGACAACACTCCTGTGGTATTTTGTCTCTACAAACTGGAGGCCCTCAACCCACAGGACACCAAGATTGAGCACATCCTCTGATTTCTACACACGCAGTTCCAAAAATTGCTAAAGCCCTTCTCTGTCTGCTCAGACATTAGCAGCCTGGGTCATAAACATTATCTCCCAGCCGGTCTAAAATTCTCAGCCCTTCCAAGAGCTCACTCCACACAAGCAATGGCAACATCCACGGCCCTCCTTGCAGGAATACCTTTGCAGGACCTTTGCAGAATAGCTACATGGTCCTCACCCTCAACATTCATCAAGCACTACAGGCTGAATGACTGTGCAAGGGCAGGCGGCTCCGCTGGCAGAGCAGGCCTCTTTGCGATCTTCCAGTGACTACGTCATCCTGCCGTCCTCTCCAGGGCAAGACTGCTAGTCACCCTACGTGTGATGCGTGCAGACCACAAAGAAGACAGTCAGGTTGCTTCCTGTAACTTAACTGTTGCTCTTCAAGTGATCATCTGTGCATTCACACAACCTGCCCATGGGTCCCACTTGATGTCAAACTGAGGACAACTTGCCCCTCTCTGCAGGGGGCACAGAGGCTAAACCAGGGCAATGCAATACTGCTCCCTTGAACCCCTAGGCAGCCTCACTGGAACTGAGGGAATACACCCCTTCCTATGGATGCAGGGAACAGGAAGGGGAGGGGAACCTGTCCAAAGTAAGGCTTACCTGTAGAATATTCCTGACAACAGGCTCCACACTGGGGCTGGGGGGAGCCCACCGTATGTGTGAATGCACAGATAACCAAGAACAAGAGCTGCAGTTAAGCATCCTGACAACAGTCAACCCGTAATCAACCTCCAAGTATGGCTTCAGTGTTTTGTCTGAAATCATAACAACCCCTGAGACTGGAACTCTGATAAGGATAGAAAAATCAGTGCAAAAATTCAAGAGATGTTCTCAGCATCCACAATAAGTTGACTTGCACTCCACTTCTGAATCTCTAGACTCATCTTCATCTCCCCTCTCTGTAAAAGAGAGTTAATAATAGTATTCACCAACTTTTCATGGTTGTTATAAGGATTACAGAGACGATGTAAAGGATTTTTTTCCCTAGCACTGTATGAAGCATGAAGAAATTGCTAAAAAAGAGGATCCAGTGGTGCACTTCCGCTAAAGCTGCTGATGTTGCACTAGTGGAAACCACTGTTTGCACAACGTCAGTAGTCCAGATTTCCCAAGAAGTGCAATTCACTATTGAGTGCTACTGATATTGTCCAAGAGCTGGCTTCTACTAGCACACCGTTTGGCTCTTTCTCTACACACTGTAATATACACCTCAGCTTTCTTCCTGGAGAATCCCATCTAGTCAGCTCTTAAGGGGCCTCAGTGCCATCATGTCACCGTCATCGACCCCATCACTGGGATTAGAGAGAGGAAAACAATGATAACCCTCTTCCACCAGGAGCGCCCCCACCCCCAATTCCCTGCTGAGATGACAAGCTAGTTTTAAAGAGCCAGGCTTCTCTTTATTGCTTCTCCTATCAGATTACAGACAGGCTGTGTTACTGGTGGGGGGGGGGGATGCTATTTTTAGAAGCTTGCTTTCTAAAAATAGTTCTAAGATGTTTAGAATTGCGTCACAAGAGGTAATTTTATCCCCTGTTTGGCCTAATGGGCCCCTCTTCTCTCCCCCCTCCCCAAAAGGGGTGAATACAAAAGGAAAGAGAGTCTGAGGATGAGGGGTCAGCAAGTTCAGATCCAGGAGAGAGAGCAAAGAGGTAAGAGATCTTCTAAAGGGGCTGAGTCAGATCCGAGCATCATTAGAATCTTGTCTTTCTCCTCTGCCGCCTCCTCTTCCTTTTCTTTATTCTTAATATTATTATCATTAATGTCAATCCCAAAGGAGGTAACGAATACAGATGTTTTGCAGTTGTGATCCTGCCCTCCTGCTTAGTCTTCGAAAATGCAGGGGAGGACAGAATAATTGTAGTCACTGCCCTGTTGGATGACAATGCACTGAATCCACGGCAATTCAGCTCCAGCAGTACCACCCAGTGGCCATTGGGGGACATTGACGTGTAGGGTTCATCTATCAGGCAAAAGGGAAGGAGGCTCCCTCTTGCCTCCGGCACCCACCTGGCTCTCCCAGTCTAGATGTCTGGCAGAAGCAATCCACACTGGCTGACCTTTCCACCAGGGCAGCAGGCAAGGACCAGTGCAGGATGAGTGCAGGCTGCCACTCTAGTCAAGTCTTGCTCAACTTGGTGGCCTCTAGATACGACGCTCTGCAACACCCACCATCCCCAGCCAGCCTGGTTATTGGCTAAACTGGCTGGAGAGAATGATAGTTGCAGTCCTCTCTGGTCCTCTACTCTATTCATGCTACTGCCAGATTCTGGGCTGTGCTTAATATCTAAACTAAGAGATCTTGAGACTCATGTTTCACCCTTTGTCGCTGGAAGTCCTTTCCCCCAATCCCAGATATCTAAGGGTTAGCTACGGTCACTCAGTAGGAAAGGAAAGGAACTTTGAATGTACTTCAAAGGGCTCTTTATCATGCGGTCGGCACCACATGACTCTTGCACCACAGGACTCTCCAATTATGAAAGAAATCTTGCAGCGGAACCTCAGCACAAGTAAAGTTTCTGTCAGTGTTGGGGTATCCCAGGAATAGATGCGGCCTTTCAGCTAGGATCCCCGTCTCTCCAGGAACACAGGAGCAGTCTTGTGTTACACCAATGTTAGACCTTTGAGCCACATACTGTGCATGCTGCTCGGCAGCAGCTCTCCGGGAATACTAGAAGGGGCTTTTCCTGCATTATCTGCAATACCAGCGTCTGACTCTAGGATCTTCTGCAGGCTAAGCTGTCTATGACTCACTTATATTCCTTATGCATATCCCTTATTCTAAAGATCCTTGTTCCCACATCTCCCAGCATGCTACGTAAGATCCCTGCCCATTTCCAAAGGGCCTCTCTATTTTTGAAACATCTTCATGATGTCTGCAAACTTCTAAGGAGAAAATACGATCAGGACTAGAAAAATCCAATGCATCTAAAACATGAAAGCCAGGGCACCTAAGGATTTTGACATTTTCTATTAATCCTTTTGTGGAGCTGGCCTCTAAATGATTAATGTTGGCTATTGAAACTTTGATGCTGGCTACTGAAAATTTAATGCCAGTATCATGCCAGAGCAGAGGTAGAGGCTATAGCAGAAATTTCACTTCAAATTCGTAAATGAGGAAGAGGGGGTGTTTAATTTTAAAATTCTCAATAATTATGAAGATTTACACCATTTTTTCCTAATCTGAAGGACAGTAGATCAGGGATGCCTGATCTACCCAATACACAGGTATTGTCTGAGTGTGTACTATCTTTCATAACATATTAATGATTATATTAAATCCAGGGATAATAAACTACTAAAGGCAACAAAGCCACAGTTTTATTGGTGCTTCGGGATGGTGGCTTCCACCACTACCTACGACAAAGGTGGGCAGCCTGAGACAATTCAAGGTGCACAGTGGGAAGAGCAGCCCCTCCCCTCCACCAGTGCAATCGCCACTGCTGAATAGCATTGGCCTTGCTCTAAAGTGAAAATGGAGCTTTTTTCCTCTGCAGTTCAGCAATGCAGCAGGAACGATTTGGGGGAAGCAGATGCCAAAGAAAGGTTTGGGGTGCATACTGTCTACCCCAGCCTATAAGACTTACATCGCCCTCCAGGTGTTTTGTTATGACCCCCAGCATTCCTGGCCATTGACCCTGATTACTGAGATTGATGGGCATTGTAGTCCAGAATATCTGGAGGGCACCGGTGGGAAGGGGAGAATGGGCAAGGGCATTACACGGGTACATGAATCTTCAAAACTTTATTCCAGCCTTGAACATCATGTCCTCCTCAGGAGAAGCCCCATTCCCTCCCTGCCATCTCAAATCTTTCCATCCCTTTACAGAACCATGGCCATCTTATGTGAAAGCTGCAGCAAGCCAGTCAGGACCCGGAGCTGTGTCTCTAGATGCCCTGTGGGGGCATCGGTCTCCAGACGGATGCTCAGGACCCCAAAGCCCTTCAGGTCAGAGACTACCCCACGCTTTCCTTCTTCCCTGATTTACATTAGAAGGGGTGTTTGACGGAATTCCCAGCACAGATTCATTTTCTGGGTGCAGAATGTCTCCTTTGGAAAGCAGTGGGGCACCTCTTTCGCCCAAGGTTTGACTTCAATTTCTGAGACCTTCAAGCCACCTTCAAGTGGTGGGCAGGGCCAAAGACCAAAAAGATGGGCCCAAACAACAACAAAAGCCCCACACGTATTTTTCTTCAAACTCTTACAGCTAGCAGAAAGGAAGCCTTAGGAGAGAGGTTCGACCTTTCAGAATGGCATCAGATGCAACAGCACAAAACCTGAGAAACCACCAGATGTTTGCCAGTTGGGGAAAAGGGGGCAGGACGATCTGAAGAAACGTAGATGGCCAGATGTGGACCCTGGACCGAGGCTCCCCAGCAAATGTCCCACTACATTTTCAGCAGCATAGTGAGGTCGGAGTAGAGCAGCCGACCTCCATCTGGACTGTCCAGATGTTTCAGACTTCTACTGCCATCAGTCCCTGCCATCATGACCAATAGTCAGGAATTGTTTTCTTTTTGAATTCCTATTTTGCATATGCAAATTAAAAGAGCAATCAATTAAAATGTACAATTCATCAGCTAAAGGTGCAATCTTAGGCACTTTGAGACAGAAACACATCGTACAACTCCCAGCATGCTCCAGCCAACCTCCCTCCCACCATGGCTGGCATGATGCTGGGGTGTCTTTGGTAGCCAGGCTTTGATGCCCAGTGAGTAAACTTGATTAGTTCATGCTGACGTTTTTGGGTTAGCGCAGCTGTTCTGAGACATCTGCAAAGCAATCGCTTATTCTGTTGGGACAGGGAGATGTGCTGAGCGCTCAATGCCAGGAACTGCCCAGAGAGCAACCTGGAAGAGTTCAGCCAATGCCAAGCCTGGCCTGTCACCTGTGGCACAGCATCAGCTGGCAGGAGTTGGCTCAGTACTGCTAACTGGTGAATCACTGAGGTGGTAAATCTATGCATGGCTGGACTCCAGGATGAAGCTGTGTCTCTCTCTGTCTGTCTATCTACCGCATCTTTCTATAGCCAAGTTCTTTGTTAAAGGAGACTTTCAGGGACTATTGTAAAGTAGGAACTGTTGGATGCCCTTCCCTGAAGGTTTCAAAGAACCGGTGGCTGAATGAGCATCTGGTCAAGATGGTTCTGCTGCAGTGGCTCCTTAAATGTGGACCATCCTAGAAAGGTTTGTGTGAACAGTTGCAGCCAGATGTGTTGGACTACGACTTACAGCCACCCCAAGGATGCTGGCTGGGGATGGTTGGGAGTGGTGGGCCAGCCGCATCTAAAGGGCATCACATTGAGGAAGCTGGCCTCAGTGAGTGCATTTAGAACTGCAACTTGAGAAACATCCAGCGTAAGATGCATCGTGAGCTATGTTCAGGTTTACTGCAAATCTGAACTTGGGTGGCCTATTTGCTGGTCAGGGTCTGTCCTCCTGGCCAGCCAGGACCTCCGAGGCCAGAGCCCCCTCTCTTGTCCAGCCCTCCATATTAACTTGAAGTATAAGATCACAATCCTGAACATGCTGACTAGGGAGCAAGTCTCACTGAGTTCCCATTGCCTCTGAATCGTCAACACCCTTAGGATTCTTCCAAAACATTGTTTGGTTCCAATACATGTGGAAGGATGGCCCCCTGGTGACCTTTATGGGGAATATCCTTGGGGTGGGGAAGCTGATTGGGGGTGCATCTGCCCAAGGTTTTTCTTGCCTTCTTGCACTGCCTCATTCACAGAAGTTTATAGGAGGTTGAAATGGCTTTGTATTCCACTTGTAAGCCGCCTACCTTTTCCTTGGCGCTATAATCATCTGCAACACCACTGCAGTGCATCGGCACATCACACTTGACCACACTCACAAGGAGGGGCCAACACTGCAAGCAGCAGAGTTGCTCCATATGGACAAATCCCTTCTAGCAGCTTTCAGCTCTACCAGAAGCAGGCTTTGCACAAAGCTACTGGGCTAACTGTTCTGCCTGCAAGCTTGCAATTTAAATAAACTCCGTGCATAACCTGATTGCAACCTCAGGCAAGGATTTTATGTTGTGAGCAACCTGCCTCAAACATGACATTTTGCAGGGGGTCCAGATGACATCCCCCAGTTGTAACTCTCCCATGGTTTTCCTACTGCCTTAGAAAAACCAGGAAAAAATTGTAGCAGAAAGAGTAAAGGCAGTCTTGGTGAAGAATGCATTTTGATTGCAAGCACCAGGACCCCTCCATCTGGAAGCATAGCCAGCAAATAAGTCAAGAGACTTCAGTGGAGCAAAATTGGTCCTTTGGCACAAATGCATTTGTGTTTTAACATACCACCATCCTTGTTTATCCCTTTTAAATTGGATACTAGAAAGCTGCACTTCCTATGTTTAGTTCTTCTAACCCTGTACAGTCCCAGCTCCAGGGGACAGGAGTGCTGACTCATGTCACCCAGCTTGCAGCCCCTTGCACAGATTAACACCTCACAGGGCTGCGTGCTGGTTGTCATGGGAACCTTCACATATAATCCTGTGGTGCAAACTGAAATTCCATGCCATATGGTCCACTTTGGGCTGCACTGGATCCTCACGAACCCCTCTGCTGTTTCTCTGTTCCTGGGCCTCTTTGTGGTGACTAGCAGGTCTTCCAGGGAGTCCTGTGCAAAGAGGAATCACCAAAAGGAGACTATCAGGGTTACATCCAATAGAAGCATCTGCTTCCCAAGAGCAACTTGGTTCTAGACAAGAGCTGCTTTTTCCAGTTGAACAGAAAGCAGCCAGAGACACCATGGAGGGACCCCCTGTGCTTAAACTTATTGTAAAGAGGAGAGCACTGTGGCAGATGGGGCTTTTAATCTCAACCCAGCATGAACGCTGCACTTACCTAAAATAATCTCCACTGCAAAACTATTATCCTTCTTTGTGTCTGATTCCCTATTTTGTTTCATTTTGGGTTGCACCAACTACTTGCCCAATTGAACAAAATTTTGTGCAAACCATTTCTTATACAATGGAGTAAAAGTGGTGAGATCACCATTGAAAGAAGATGATGCTGTCAAGCAAAAAAACACAGCCCAAGTTGACTCAGCTCCTAAAGGACTAAAAACTCCATAGAGACAGGTATGTGTAATTCAGCTGGGGTGGCTCAAGGGAGCCACCTGGTGGCTCAAGAAGATCAGTGCACCCCCTGGAGTTCCCATCAAGCCCTGGTATAATCCTACTAAGTCTCCCACTAACTGTTAACCAGTTGTTTCCTTCCATCTGCTAAAGGCCCTTTGGCTCCCTTTCACACAGGGGGGCATGTCAGCTGGCCATTCCTGTAGGCAAGCCCAGCCCCAAGCTAATGGGAATCACCAGCTGAGGTTCATAAGGAGACAAGGCTGCCGAAGCAACCGTGTGTTGCATCCATCATTGATGTGGCAGTCTCTCATCCGCAGGCAATGCTGTCTGAGGCCACAGGGCCTGGTGCAGCAGTCCCCGCTGCCACCACCCACAGTGAAACAAACCTCATCTCCTCAGTTCCCAAGCGTCCTTGGTCCTTGGGAATGACTGGCCAAGGATCCCTCTGGGGTCCTCTGTATTCTGCATCCAGTGCAGAGCAGGTCATTTCAGGTCCCCTTTGTCTGTCTCTCAAGGGCATAAGCCAAGCTTTCTTGCTGAATCAGGTCATGGGTCCATCTAATCCACATCCCACTTCCTACAGTGGCCAACCGGATGTTCCGGTGGGAAGCCTACAAGCGGGTCACGAGGGCAATTTGCCAGTGGTGGAGGTAGGGCTGCGGGGTGGGCGGGATCCCCTGGCAACCACCCAAAGCACGAGAAGTGGTGTGGCCAGTGGAAAATATGCTCAGCAGCAGCACCTGGGCTGGCAGAGTCTTGTGAGGTTGAAGCAGCCATTCTGATTTTAAAAACACACACGTTTTCTAGTCAAGGAGCAGCTGGATGAGCATATACGTGGTTACAGATGCTCCTTTTATTTTTATTTTAAATATGTATGATCCTGCCCTGCAACAACACGGTGCATATTCCCAAATAAATGTGCCTGATAATTTCATCAGGAGTCGTGATGGAAAATGCACATTCTCAGAATATTCTTTTGTGAAAATCAGGTTTTGTAAACAGGTGTGTGTGTGTATCTCTCTAGTAACAGGAATATTGAAGCAGCTATAAAGCATGAAATGGTGGGGAGGGGAAGAGAAATGGTAGTTGTGTGCTTCACAACTGAGGTAATATATGTGGCTGTCTAAACCCTCACCCTGCCCCTGGGATAGTGTTTGAGAGCATTAAATCCAGAGTCTGTGTTTATTCTCTAAGCTGCATCCTTGGCAATAACATAACCCTGCTGTGGAGGCATGCTGCTTCTGATCCTGGAAGTAACATATAGCACTAGTCCTCATGACTAGTAGCCATTGATAGCTTCATTGATAGCCACTGATAGTTCCATGAATTTGTCTAGTCCCCTTTGAAAGCCAACCAGTTTGGTGGCCACAGCAATGCCTTGTGGTATCAAGTGCCCTAGTTTGACTATCTAGTGGATGAAGGAATGCTTTTCTTTTCATCTGTCCTGAATCTCCCATCACTGAAGCTCATTGGGCCTCAGACACAACTATTATGGCTGGCATGGGAGCAAGTCAGTGGACGGAATCAGTGCTGCTTCGGCCCTGCTCAAAGCAAAGGACAACAGTCCCTGTTAGAAGTTAGTTGCCAATCAGTGACCGTGGCAACAAACTTTTGCTCTGCACAAAGTCCTCTCGGAACACAGCTTCAACAGAACTGGTCCCCTCCTTTTCCACATTTTCCAGAGAATGCAGTAGGATTTACCTCTGGGTAAATATGCATGGAGCTGTGCAAGTATTCAGACCTGTGGCTAATAATAACTTTCTCTGCCACCTTCTAGTGTGCAGAGCACTTAAACCCTTTATCATTCGTAGCTTTTACAGCACAGAATGAGGACCATTAATATTCCTGTTTTATATGCGAAGATACTGAAGCTGACAGAGAATGGTTTGCTCAAGGCCATGCAATGAGCTCATCATGGCTGAGCAGAATTCAGGATTTCCAGCCTAAGGAACTATTTGAATGTCAGGAAGGCCCTTGAGACACAGCTGAAAAACCCTTATGTGCCCCAGTAGCTCCCGGGGCGGGGAGGGGGGGCATTTGAACTTTTTCCTACACAGCAGGCCTAGTCCTGTGTTAAGTCTTCCTACCAGCCGGTGGCTGACTGGAATAGGAGGCGCTGGTGTGAGGACTAGCTACAGCAGCCTTTCCCAACATGGGTCCTTCAGAGATGTTGGAAAGCATCTCCCATCAGCCCTGAGCATTGGCCTTGTTGGTAGGGGTTGGCTGACATTTGTAGGACAAAAACCGTGTGGGGGGATAGCACCCTCTAATATTTTGTAACCTCCCTTATTGTGACCCAGCTGGCACCAACGTGGATAATTTTCAAGCACTAGGCTAAGATTGCCTTCTGTGCCAAGGCATTCAATGCCATTTATTGGCTTTAATTGATTTAGGAGGCTTATGTCTGCTATTGTTTGGTTGATTGAATATATTTAAATTCTTAAACGGGTTTTAAATTCTGTTTTCAGTTTTGTAAAGCAAATGTTATACTGCTTTTATTGTACCTATATTGGGTTTTATTGGGTTTTTTAATGAATTGCTAATGATTCAGAGCTTTAGCTGTTAGGTGGTATATAAAGGAAATAAACAACATTTTTCAATGTGAATTGGTTCTCCTGCACACTCAAAATGGAGCAGCATTCAATCATTCGAAATCCTACTTGAAATATTAAGTAGTACATGTACCAGTCTGAGATTTACCATCTCAGAAAATTCTGGTCTAATATGGTCTTTTTTGAGCAGCTTCTCAAAGGTACTTGGGGCTCCTTGCTTTTCTGAAAACTGTTGAAATTGTCTTTTCAGTGGGAAATCACTTACACTAGGAAAAGATTTTAATTTCCATCCGAGTCCCTCACTGTGCTATTCTCTCACTGTGCCATTCATGTTAGAAACATCTCAGAAATGTTTGTTGATTGCACATCAGAAATGTTCCTGTGTAATGCTTGGTTTTCATATTGACTGAAAAGATAAAGTTGTTGCAAGACTATTTTACCACATTTGTTTCCTGTGGGGAACAATTCACTGCACCGTATGCTGAAATACGGTGAAAGGGGCCTTTCCTCTGTTCTGAGGCCTTTCTTCCAAAATGGAACATTCCTGTTTGGACCACAGCAGGATACATTCTTAAGAGTGTAATCCTTGCATCGTCTTCTCAATCTCTTTCTAAGTTTAATTGTGCCTGGATGAAAACTGGAACAGGGCCTTACGAAGGGCAGGTATCACAGCCATTTTTAGATGGAAAGGTATTTTTACCCTTCATTTTCACATAAAACTATGGAGGTGTGAAACCACTGTTGGCATGCAAAGTTTCCACATTAACACATCTGCAGCATTAAGCCTGGGACTGCAATTTAAAAAAACTACCATGCTTTGTGAACATTGAGGGTGGTTGTGTGAATCAGACCTTCAGATCAGCCAGCGGCAGCAGGAGTGTTTCAGCGGCGTTGTCCAGTCATGTCTTCAACCTCTTGGTTCATGCAGGTCAACCAAAGGCGCTTCCAAGGCTCGGCGGGATCAGATCAATGCTGAGCTGCAGACCCTGCGCTCCCTGCTTCCCATCTCACAGCAAGAGAAGGAGCGCCTCTCTTACCTTCACACCATGGCTCTGGTCTGCTTCCACCTACGAGAGACTCAGCTGTTTCATCCAGGTAAAGACCCCCCCCCTCCCGCTAGACCTGCACTGAGCAGCCAGTATAATGCCATTGCCAGCGTGCTGGGTTCCAGTCTCCTCTCACCATGAGCCTCGCTGGGTACTTTTGGGCCAGTTACTGTCTCACAGGCTCGCCTACCTCGCAGAACTGTTGCGAGGATAAAATGGGGAGAAATAAAACCATAGGAAGCACATTGGGGACCTTGCAAGAGGAAAAAGAAGAAAGGCAGAAATGTAATGAAAGAAAGTAACCTCAAATCAGGGTGGCCATGTGTCCTATTTTCTAGAGGACAGTTCTCTGTTTGAAGGACTGTGACGTCTAAGTCCAGTGGAGAGCGAAAAAGCGATACGAAGAAAGTGCAGAGACCGCGCAGCTGGCAGCACCTGCAGGCTGAGCAAGGCACGTGGTCACAGTCAGTCACGCTGTCAGAATTATTTATAATGGGTGTCTACACCAACAGGTTAGCATACACACATTGCAAGCGAAATCTGCCCTCTTTCATCTTGCATTTTGGGGGTTGCATTTCCTTTTATTCATGATGCATGTGCAGCCACCCTATCCCTGCTCAGACCGTGGCCTGGTTTCTCAAAAAGTGATCTGGCACTTCCTAGGAAATTTTGATCAACGGCTAGAAGAGATGTGACTTTTTCCATCTCAGCCCTGTGCATCCCCTCTACAGTTTTTGCACAGCTCTAGGTATGGCCAGATGGGAACCAGGTAGGGGTGGGAATTTACACTTCATGTTCATCTGCTACCCATTCCCCTAAATTCATACCCTGCATCAAGAAACTAAAGGGAAAAAAACTCAAAGGGCACTGAGTGAGTGAGTGAGTGAGTGAGTGAGTCTGTCTGTCTGTCTGTCTGTCTGTCACCTTCACATTTGGAAAGAGGAACATTTAGGGGAGGCAGTGGCTGGGTTGGAAGGTTTAACTGACCCCATACCAACATGAGGTGGTCCAAATCTGGACTGGGGGTCTCCTGTGCATACACCAAAATAAAAGCGAAAGAAACAGCTCAAGACTGCATTTAACATAAGCAGCTTTGACTCCTAGTTCCTTTTCGCATGCACTGCTGCCAAGCCAGGTCTCCCACATTCTTTTGATCTTTGGTGTCTAAATGCCAGCCTTTACATTTCTGTCTGATGAATTTAATCTTGGTGGGTTTGGCCCAGCAAGCCAGCCTGTCAAGAACATTTTGAATCTCTTGACTCTGTCTTCCTCCTGCCTAGCTTTGCTACCTCTGCAAATTCGTTAAGCATTTCATTCCTTCTTTTTTGTTTGACTGTGATTGATTCCAGCACTCTCTGCCTCCTAGCTGGGAGCCTTCCAAACTTAAACAGGAAAAGTCCAGCTGCTGTCCTATGGTGGTGAGAACAATGGCTAAGCCTGCTGGAAAACAACAATCCTACAACAACAAAAGTCGTGTTTATTGCTACACTTACTGTATGCCTGACCTTTCTTCCACTGAGATCAAAGCAGCATCCTCGGTGTACTCAGACAGTCCCCCAACCAGACCTGAGCAAGATTTGGACTCACTTAGCTTCAGCCAAGTTGCACCTTCTTGTGACTTCAAGCTGTTGCCCCAGGACAGGGATGTTGAATTTCGTTCAGCCTAAGGGCCAAATGCAATTGCAGAGAAGCCTAAGGGTAGGCAGCGGTAGGCACCACCAGAGGAGGAGGATCAAAATGCAAAATATCTCAGTACCCTGTCACTTAAAACTCTTACTACCGGTAACTGAGCCCAAGGAGAGGCATTGCCGGTTTTTGGAATGCAGGAGGAAACTGCATAAAAGCTGAAAAGCCAACAGTTTGCTGGTGCCCCTTTCCTACCTGTGTCTGCTGTGAATGTTATTTAAAAAAACCTGTAGGGAATTCTGGTTATGGATTTTCTTTGTTGTGCCTAATTGCACCGTATCCCTTGCAGGGGGCATAGAACAAGCAATAAAGAGCAACCTTACTGTGCATGCAACAGCTGGCTTTACCAGTCCCCACATGGTATTCATCATGGTGTCCCCAAAGGTGTCTTTTACCTTTAGACATTTCCTGTCTTCCCTTTCACTCTTTAAAATTTCCTCCTGAGGTTCAGCACAACAGCCAAGGTGCTTTAGCTGCATGTTAATTTTTGTTGGCGTGTCATTAGATCACATGGTAAAGTGAAAGAAACAATGACCTTGGTATTGTTCTTTCATAATTATGTTCCAAGATGGGCATGTTCTGTTCTGCACAATGTATTACCTGAGCGATATTGTTCTCTTCCAGTCTATAATGCGGTGGGAGGAGCTCACTTGGCAGAAAGCAGTAAAGACCTAAATCAACCTCATTGCAACTGATCCTGCCAAGAGAAAAATTCACCATAATAGCTCTGATTAGGAGAACTGACTTGATTGCAGTCTGGGATGGTGACTTAAGACGGTGGCTGGATCTGCATGACAGGGTTCACTGCCACCCATGATGGATTGTCATGTTGTAAGAACGCAGACTGATTTCCTCAGGGCGGCTTGTCCGTGAGCAGCCAGCCATTCCAACATCCCATGGTTTGCTCCAGGGGTTCTTCTACCCACACTGGGTTGTTATGCTGTCCAAAGCGAGACAACTGGCCCCACTGTGGGTAGGCATCAGCTCATGAGCCCCATGGCAAGAGCAACACTAGGGTATTTTTAATTATTGGGCACAAAAATTGTAATTGTTTCACATTATTCTAGTCACCGTTCCAAAACAACAAGCAACTGGTAAGGGGCAGCAGGTTCCAGCTTTCTCTGTCTGTGCTGGCTCATGTTCTTCCTCCACAAAGAGGGTAAGCTGTGAGCCTCTGTGGATAACATTGCTGGCCAAGCTACACACATACAGCACTAAACTAGTGGCTGAATGAACAAGCAGCTGCATTTCTACCACCCCTGCAAACAGCAGCCACAAGCAATCCCAGTCACGAACCACAGTGCAAACGAAGGAGTTTAACCTTTCCTTCCACAGCACATTCCCCATGAAAATTGTTCCCCCAAAGTTGCAGGATGGCATGGGAGGGAAACTCCATCATGCTAAATAGCAGCTCCAAAGTAGGAAGGAGGCGAATTTTCACTAGGATGATGGTGGAGCTCCCCCACCTCCACTTTTAAAGCCATGGTCTCAATCTTGATCAGCGATCCCACAACAGACCATGAAGCAGTAGAGTTGGAAAGGGCTAATTGTCACGAAAAATGATGCTCATAATATTTAAGCTACTTGTCACTCTTAATATGGCAAAGCTTCGGAAACTCATAGGAGAACTGGAGCTCTGAAAAGGTATCTTAAAACAGGAGAACCCAGAGAGTGATTGCCCTTAAAAAGGACTTGCAGAGGTGCTTAAATATCACTAAAACATAATGGGATGTACACTCATAAAAAGCTCATAAAACTTCGGCAAGTATGAGAAGCAAACTGCAGTTCTGACTGCATGTCGTTTATAGTAGGAGTAATGAATAGGTAGTACTAAGACCCACCAATGTAGACACACCCGAAATCTTTGTTTATACTGATTTTGCTACCTTACCTTTTCATCGTTGCCTCTCCCTCTCTCTTTATATATTAAAATAACAGGCACTAACTGCCTCTTTACTTGGAACAGCTCCACACTTTACACAGCAAGCAAAATTACTAGAGTCATGTTGGTTTTACACTGGTATTTCCCATAGCAAACACACGAAGTATGAATGATCTATCTGCATTAGGCAGGTTGAATGTCTTTTAGCCTAAGGGTCAAATTGCATTTCAGAAAAGCTCTTGTGGGAACACATTCCGGTGGTTAGCAGGGTCCTACCTTAGCTGAAGCAAACCATAAATGAAGGAATATCCATAAAGTAAGGTAATAAAACAGGCAATTCATCAAGCACAAAGGTTTTGGTTCAGTGGGGATCAAGCTTTTTTTCCTTCTCCCAGGCTCATGTGATAACATGGGACATGCTCCGACTCTTCCTGAAGCTGCAGCACTGCTGGATCCAGAACTGCTGCTTTCCCTCCCAGGGTTCATTGTGGCTCTCACTGCAAATGGCAAACTGGCCTATATCTCAGAGAATGTGTCCCACTTCCTTGGTTTTTCTGTGGTAAGTCCAAAGTATCAGATGTGAGGCACTGCCGTTTTCCTTCTTATGTGCAGAGGATGAGAAAGTAGAACCTGAGAAAAGCATGATGAATGGAAGCTTGGGATCTTCTGAGGAGGCCTCATGGCCATCTCAGGATCCACAATGTTATGTAAAAGACGGGCTTCTTGGTTGTCTGCGACATTCTCCTACTTGTGGTCTGAAGCAGAAACTGTGGCAAACTTTAGATGTCTCCAGAAGAGGCACCTGTTTACTCAATGTGTCTCAGAGTTATAATTACATGTTTTGTTTTAAAGCTTTTGTAAAGTTTTTAATGTATTTATTGCTTTTACATTGGTTTTTATATTGATTTTTGTGTATCTTTTATGTAAACCCAGTTAGGGATCTTACGAAAGCAAGTTATTGGCACCTTATTAGTACCTTAGTTATTAGTACCTTAAATAACTACTGCACTAGAAGGACTGGCTACTACTGCACTAGAATTATTATTACTGTTACTGCTTCTCCACATTATACTACCAGATCATTGGTCCTTCCACTGGAGTACCATCTATACCAGTCAGGAACTTTTCACCAAAGTCTAATTTGAGACCCTTCCCAACCTTTTGTTGCTCAAGATCCTCCTTTCAACTGGAGAACTAAAAGATTCTGACTGGGAGCTACTCTGTGCAATACACGCTCTCTACAAATACACAATGGCTTCTACTCCCCAATGGAAAATTCCAGAGAACCAGTGGCATAAGACATGATGACACCTAAGTGGATTAAACAGGGTGATTTGCTTACAATCCGTATAGCTTTTATTAAAATCCTACAGGTGCCAGGTTTCCTTTAAACTGTACCTAGGCCTTGTGATTACATTTTCAAACTGACATGGCATGTATTTCTAACATGGTTCCAGATATAAATAAGTCACCTACCATTGAATTGTGGTTTTCCCCTATTCTTCTTCCAGGTAGAACTCTTAGCTCATGGTGACTCCATCTTTGACCTTCTGAACAGCTCAGCAAGCAGGATCATGCAGGAGAAACTCTGCTTTGCCCAGCAGCATCCAGGCACTGGTAAAAAACAGGGAAACACTGGGGAAAGGTCTTTGCAGCCGAGAGATAGTCAACGTTTATGTGAGGCTACCCCATCATAGCTTGAAGAAATATACTCCAATGAACAAATACATTTATTTTATTTATTTACAGTATTTGTATAAAACTCCATATCCAAGCAAATTCCAGAGTGGAATTAAAAAGTTAAAACAAACAGTAAAGCATTAAAATAATTAGAATAATAAAAAGATAACATTAAATCTGTGTCTGGTCAACAAGAAAGCCTTCCTGGAATAGGGCTGTCCCTAGCATGCCCTGAAAACAGCATTGTGTTGACACCTGCCTGGCCTCCTGAGGCAAGAAACCCATAAAAATGGGGCCACCACAATGAAGACTCTCCTCTTGGTAGACTCAAGTAGGACCATAAGTCCACCTGGAGCCATCAGGAGGATGTTCTCCAATGACCTCAGTGGCCAGGAAAGTTGGTAAGGGAAAAGGCTATGGAGAGCCAGTCTCTCCTCACCCCAACCTCTATCTTTTCTCCTTCCCAGCAGATCAACAGGAGGTCCCTAACTTTACAGCTTTGTGATACAAACAGTGTGATGCAAAGATGACTAAAAAGGAACTTCCATCAAATTAACAAGTCAGCTAATTAGGTATTGGGTATAAATGTATTCCAGACTGAATTCCCCTCCTCCCTTCACCAACAAATAGAGAAGCTCCACCCTCAAGAAGGCTCCTGCTGCTTGTGGGCCACATAGTGGGAATGCTAGACATTACTTGATTGGTTAACTCTCTTAATCTGGCATCCAATAGCAGGGCTGATTAATTGTATCCCTCCCTCTCTGGCCCTCCCAATCAGAGGTGGCCAGAGGTTCTCACCAGTTGCTTGGCTTATCTTGAAGCTTGCTGGCCATGGAGATTAGCTAAGAATTCCAAGCCCTCTTGTTCTTCCAGTTCAGAGTCTGAGGTATTCAGTCTGGAATTCTGTATTTTGGGAGAAGCAGGCCTAGTTCCTACCAAGGCACTCTTTTAGGCATCTTGATCCCCAGTTGTTCAGGACTTTGCATGCAGATATTACATTTTTCACATTTTCAAAAGAGTTTATTGTACTAGCCCAAGGCCCTGACAAATACCGTTACATCAAATGTATGAGCCGAGACAACAAAATGAAGAATTTCAAACAATATAAATAGATTAAAATATACTATGAACAGAAATTCATCTTAACTTTGAATATCCAATGCAGTTTATAGCAATTTTGTGTAATTCTCTCCTCCTGATGTTTGACACCAAAGCAAACATAGCAACTCTATGTGTTATATAACTATTAATATCAGTTAAAAGAAAATAACTGTTTCTGCCAAGGCATTCCTGTATCCATATGATAGCAAGGGTTTCATATGGAATCCGTATATGGAGGACAAATTAGCATGCAATCTACCATCTTCACTGTGATATAAATCACAGATACATAATCTGCATTCAAAAGGCACCTTGCTATATCACCCATCCAAAACTGCAGTTTGTCATATCTTGAAATCACAACTCAATAAAGGCGTTTCTTAAGGAGGATGGTCTCAGTCTGAACAGATAGCTGTTTGGGAAAGAGGAAATCACTGAGAAAATTTAGAGATTTTAATTAATTTCAGGTCCTTACTAGAGTCTATCCAAAATATCCAATCCCTTAATTGTCTCTTATCCATAGTAAAGATGATATTCAAATTAGAAATATAGTAGCTACATGCCAAATTACTGAGCATTGACTTCCTGATATGGTTTTAATTCATTTCCAAATGGCACAAAGCTGGAACGCGTCCGTTAGAAAGAAGAGCAATTCGTTTAAGATACTGCAGTTTAGCACAGTCTATTCTTGTCCTAATTGATGGGCATCCTGAGTCTGTGCACAAGAAAGCTGCAGGGGCTGTGGCAGGAAGACAATGAAGTTTACAAAGGAAGTGTTCTGCACCAATTCCAAAACATTTTGGGTAGTGCTGTCAATCTCCCAAAAGCATTTGTGTGATTACGTTGCTATAATAAACTTTCAGGGTAGGTTCACTCAGCTGCCCGCCTTTGTTATAATAAAATTTCATTAATGCTGCAGTGGTGTTCTACACCTTCAATTTTACTGCCATCCTATGCTCTGCGCAAGTATTAAAACCTTAAACCTGGCCTTAAACCTGAACGGATGCCAGTGCCATTCTTTTAGCAAGGGAGTTGTTTGCTGAAAGGCGGCAGCTCCCAGTAACAGCTGAACCGCTGCCTTCTCCCTTATGCAGCCCGTTAGTGAGACCAAACAATGATCTAAGACTTGCACGTTCCCCACCCCTCCACATACCATTGTTACAGGAAGACAGGATTGTGTGATGGTACTTAGCTGCAGATCTCCCCAGGACTGTTCCCAGTGGCTTCATAGAGATATTAAACACCACTGGGGACAGAACAGTACTCTGTGGAGCCTCATGGCTTCACTGCAAGAGGTCTGAGGAATAATTGTCCAGTGTAACTCTCTGGAAACTACCCCAAAGGTAGGACCAGAACCACTGTAACACAGTTGGCAGGTTCGTACATAACAACAAGCAATGGAAGGAACTGCGGGCAGATGGTTTGTTATTATCTCTGAAACGAGCAACCATAGTGCAGTATGGTATGCTTGGTCTCCTTGAAACCACAACTTGTTCTAAGGTTTCCATGCTTCACCATGGTTTCTTTTGCAGTCTGAACCGAAAAACCACACCTCTGTGAGGTTTCCATGTTTTTACCATAGAGCTTTGAGGCAGGAGCATCCACAGCTGCAGCAGAAGCTCCTGCCTGCACTCACCACTCTTGAAATCTGCTTGGTGACTGCTGAGCTGCAGGCAGCAGCATGATGATTGGCTCCTCCACACTTTCTGTCTTGCGGGATGTGGATCTCTGAGACCAGCCACAATGGGAATGGGATTTAGCCAGCAGTGTGGCATCATGCCACACCACCTCCACCAGCAGCAAGCACAGAGATGGCCATGCTTGGTGCTCTGGTCGGCTCTCTGCACTTTACTGGAGCAGTGCTTGGAAAGGGTTGAGTGCCCAGACTGGAACCCTCAGGAAAGTCTGCCCAGCAGGACATGCCCCCTCTGTCATGGGTGCCCACACCAATGCTCTCCACGGACCTGGCTGCTGGGGACAGGCAGCTCCTGGCAACATGTGAGGTGTGTGTGTGTGGGTAGGTGGGTGTGCATGCACACTGTTGCAGAGCAGGGCAGCACAGGGGAGGCTCCTGTAGTGCTACTCTAGAGCAAGAGTGCTGTTCTACTGAGCGCAGTTACTGAGCGGCCCAAAAACAACCCGCCCCCCCGGCACCAAAAAAGGGGCAGCTGGCTGAGGCCACACCCAAGGGAACATATTTGGCCAATGAGTTGTCAGTATTTGCTACTGGGCATTAGTTATCAAATACCATTTGGACCAATGGGGGAAGTTTTAGTTGTGGTCATAGTACTGCCTCCTTAAGGATAGCAGGCACCACCCTTTTATGCAGAGATGTGTTTACCACTCCCTGGAGCCCCCCAGTTGAATCCCCTCAGGTAGCTTCTATCCATCAGGAAGGGCACGGATCGAAAGAGCACATCGGCCACAATGCTGGAAGCACCTTACCCACATCATCAGGCTGCAGTAACTGGAACTGATTGCACAAAATTGGGCAGATGGCCACTTCAGACACCTTGACTGCAGCTGCACTAACAACATTAGTTCAGCATTCTCTGCTCTTGATCCACCTGGGAGTCATGAACAGTACCTTTAAAGCAAAAATGCTTTGGCTTTGCTCTCACTGCCTTTCTATACATACACTAACCTACATTGTTTGATTTCCAGATGGTTTGTGGTCATGCACAATAATATGTTCTTAAAGTATTAAATACTTCACCTCGTATTTGAACACACTGTTGTATTTTATGGTTTCATGTTTTGTGAACCATCCAGAGAGTTTCAGCTATTGGGCAGTATTTCAATGTGATTGATAAATTTGGGCACAGACCTGTGGAGATGAGTAGCACTTGTTTAGACGCAGAGTGGGAAGAACAGCAGGCGCACGCTTTGCCTCCTTCTCATATCCAGCTCTGTATTTTCACCAGAAAGCTGTTCTGTGCTGTCTGGTAACAGTGTCTGAAAGGGAGCAGAAAGGACGCTAGAGCGGTTTCAGGATACAAACTTCCCTCTTTAACCCCTCTCCATGGTTATTTTCCCAGTCGTGGGGAGGTGCTAGTGCAGTTCTTTCTGCAACAGCTGCAAGGGGACAGAGCTTGCAGCTCTGAGATGGCAACATTGAGATTGAATTTAAGCTATTTGTCTGGCCCCTTAGACACTGTCTAGGGGCGACAGGATTGTTTCTTTAGCAAATAATAAGAATAATATATGAGCAACATTGGACTATGTACTATTTTTAATAATTATATTTTAAGGTCATCGTTATATTTGTATTGTATTTTATGTATATTTATTTTTTTTATACTGTCCCATTACAGACGTCTCGGGACGGTTTACAACAACATTAATAAAATAGAATAAAAATAGAAGTAAGAGTATGGAACAGCATCCAATGTTAGGTATAAAAGCACAAATTAGCAATTAAAATATTGGGAGAATAAAAAGGTTTTCGACTGGTGCCGAAAGGAAAGAAGCATTGGCACCAGGAGAACCTCTCTGGGGAGTGTGTTCCACAGTCGGGGAGCCACTGCAGAGAAGGCCCTCCTCCAGATGGTCACAAGTGTATTGTTTTAATCAATTTTAGTTATTTTGGTATTCTGCTTGAACACTACTTTTGGGAAAAAAGATGAGGTATAATAATAAATAATAGACTTCTGTAATGTGCTCTACGTGGGGCTGCCCTTGAAGACGGTCCGGATACTTCAGATGGTGCAAAATAGAGCTGCCAGGTTGCTGACGGGGACTGGGCGTTGTGCTCACATGACTCCAGTCCTCCGTCAGCTTCAATGCCTTCCCATTGAAGTCTGGGCCCAATTCAAGGTGCTGGTTATCACCTACGAAGCTCTTAACGGCTTGGGACCTGGTTACCTAAAGGAGCCCCTGCATCCTTATGTGCCCTCCCGCCCCTTGAGATCAGCGGCAGAGGCCCTTCTCCGGGAACCCTCTGTGAAAGATATTAGGAGGGTGAGTACCCGGAGGAGGGCTTTCTCTGCGGTGGTGCCCAACTTATGGAACACACTCCCCAGAGAGGTCCGCCTGGCGCCGTCGTTATTTGTTTTTCAGCGCCAGGCCAAGACCTTTATATTTAAATGTTATTTTAACTGTTGATTTTATTTATTGATTTTAAATCTGCTACCAGGATGTCTCCAGTATTTTATGTATTTTGTTTAGAAATATATTTATTTATGTATTGGAAACTGCCCTGAGGCTTTTGTGAATGGGGAGGCATACAAGTTGTCCCAATAAACAAACAAACAAACAAACAAACAAACAAATAAAATATAATAAAACTAGGATAAAATAACAGAATTCAGAGTAAAATTAAAAGCGGAAAGCCAGAGTAAACAGAGCAATGATAAATGATTCAGGGGGGTGGGCGGGGAGAAAAATCATCCAACATCTTTCTTTCAGACAAACACCATGGACCTGAACAGCAAATCTTTCATCCATCATCTTATTAAAAACACTTTACAAAGTTTCTATAACATACATTCTATATTAGTATTATTGAGATCTTTTTTCTTCTCTTGCTCTCTATGCTCTTAATCAGTGTTACTAGCCAAAATCTATTCAGGGAGATTGCCAGAACTGTGTGTGCTACTTAGTTCCTTAATTTTTTAATTAACTAAAAGCCAAACCAAGGGGGGAAAACCCAGCTATTGAAAAACTGAAAGGATGAGGTGACTATTACCCAACTCATTTCCCTCTGGCTATTTTCCATGCCCAAAATTGCATCTCCTTAGTCCCAGGGAAAAAAGTGGGTAAAGAACTAGTAAGATTACAATTATCTTCTAGAGAAGACACATCAGCCGCAACCAAGGCGTAAAAGAAACTTAAAGAACTTTTTCTATAAAGTACTGCTTTATATTATAAGAAAATATAAAAAGCAAAGCCTTCAAAAGACATCTCAAATAACTGGGAGCATTTTTGTTGCCTCTTAAGCACAACCAAAATTCTGGCTCAAAAGGTGTTAAGCCTCTGCTTCAAGCAGTTTCTCACTTCCTTTAAAATAGTGTCATGCTAACTTACAGCAAAGTCTAAAGTCGCAAAAGCTTTAAGCAGCCATACTATTTCGAAAACTACTCTAGGGCCTAGAGAATGTAAAATTTTTCCTGCAAAATTTCCAAGTGGGAATTGGGGTGCTGTATTGGCAACTCAAGTTAAAAATTGGAATTAAATGCAAAGGAAAGTAGAATTGCCAAGTGATTGGAACAAATATTCACATAGCCTGCTCTTGGCTCTGCAGAACTCAGTCTGGTGAAACGGTTTTTCAAAGCATGAAGCTAGTCAAGTGTCACTGGAGACCTGCTAACAGATTATCAATTTCTTTTTCAAAAGGGCAAAGCTACAAGGGCCAGTTCTAATGTTTGGATCTCTAAACAAGGGAAATGTGAGTCAGATACATGTGTGGAGATTTCTGGATTGGCTTAGCAGTAGTGAAGGGTCATGGTCCTATTCAAATTTTGCAACATATGCACTGTTTTCCTACATAAGAAAATTATATCTCCACTGGAAAAGAGCTATTCTAATTTGTGAGATATAATTCGTATTCATTCTTACTGACCAATCATTGTTTTGTTGCGCTGAATGGTTTTAGTACATTTACTCTGAAGAGTTTCCCCTAATAGGCAGCCTATAAAGCTTTTAAATAAATAACTTACAAAGGCCTCAGACTTGAATTTAAACTTGGGAATCATAGAAATGATGCATTGGGTTTTGCATAAGGACCCCTAAAGTTACTTCAGTCTCTGCCAGAAACCTCCATCAGAGTTTGAGTTTCAAGTATCCTTTTCTCCCACTAACTTCTGCAGAAATTGAGTTCACCGCTGAAATGCACACTTCGAGAGCCTTTCGGGGGCGGTATGGACAGAACCGCCCTATGTCCCTGAGAGGCAGATTCCTCACACCAGATGTAGAGTTGACTGCCTCCTCTCCTGCTTTGACTTTTGTGGCCTTCTGCACTCCAGTTGCAAGTGTCTTGAAAGAAGCAGATTGTTCTTCGCAGAGCACTTCATTCCAGAGCTGGCACACACTGGATATGAAGGTCACAGAGATGACAGAAAAGTAAGAAAAATCTGCTCTTTGTGCATTTCAGTAGGCCATTCTGTCTGAGAGTTGCCAAAATATCAGGAAAACAATTGCTTCCTGCCCCTTTATTGTGATGGGCAGTTGCTAGCAGGCAAAGCTTCTGACCAACATCTTTGTTACTAAGGCATGCGGATCACACTTCTAGTAGCCACACAGAAGCAGAGACTGGGGGGAAATGTTGGCACCTCTATTCTGGTTAACGCTTTTTCTTATTACCGCTATACAGTTTCTTTCTTTTCATTTATTAATTACATTTATATTCTCCTTTCCCATTAAAATAGTACTCAAGTTGGCTAACAATAATAAAACATCTGAATTAAAGTATATTAAAGTATCTGTTGTGCTTCCTTACTTCACAATATTAAGGATATAAATGATTAAATTCTTCAATGTTTCCCCCCTCCCCTGCATATCAGTGTTATTTACCATCTTGGTTATCAGAGAGAAGAACTAATTGGCCTGTCTTGGTACAGTCTCCTACATCCTGAAGATACAGAAAGAGCTGCAGAGATGCACAGGACTCTGAGTGAGTATTGTGCCTGAAACAGACTAATCACAGGGAAGTGGAACAGAAAAGTATGCTTCTCTAGGTCCAGAAGTAAAGGAATGATTACATAATAATGTTACACCAGATGGATGTGGGTTTGCAGCAGTAGTTCCCAGCTTTGGGTCCCCAGTTATTTTGGATAACAGCTCCCTAAAACCTTGACCACTGGTGATCCTGATGGAGATGATAGATCTAGCCTATGGACTCAAGGTTGGGAATCATGGAATATGGTGCACCCCCGCTCCCTGGTCCGTATCTTTCTTTTCATCTCACATTTGATTTATTATATAATAATATAATAGCACAACCCCTAGGCCAGGGGTCTCCAGCCATTTTGAATCTGTAGGCACATTCAGGAACTTGAGAAACTACTGTGGGCACCAACACAAAATGCTTAATTAGTTGATCACTACTTTAGCATTTACCTGTTGGATCTAAGGATTTTAGACCAAGTTTTATTTCACAGCACTTTTGTTTTGTGCCTATTGGACATCACAACTTCTCTTTAATAACTGATTGTCTAATACACACTATTTTAAATTATTTGCCTACTTCATGCAAATCAACAAATGGAAGAGAAAACAGAACTGTATCCTTTTGACAGCCAAAAGACTGACATTACAAAACTGGAAAGATAAAGACTCACCTACTGTAATGCAATGGATGAGGACTGTTACAGGGCTCTCAGTACATGAAGTGGGTATACAGGCATCACCTTCAAATGGATATTTGGATATTTGATTTTGTTGAAGCCTATGAACAGTTGCGAGAAAGATGCATGCACATCCTATTCATAGATAGGATGCATCCATCCACATAGATTTTTTAAAAGGGAAAATATAGATACATTTTCAATTATTTGTGGGTACCACTTCATGGATGCCATTGAAGATGCCCATGCAGACCCCTGACTTAGGCTGTAGATTAGAGTCAACTCCAGGGTTGGGGAACTAAATTAAGAGCCAGTTAACAACCCAGCTTTCTGTGGACTAAATGATACCAGGGGCTGTGGCCATGTTCCCTGATGTCATTTCATTCCTGGCCGAAGTGCTGGTTGGATGGTCCACTTAGCACATTGTCCCTGGCCCATCTACAACATTGGGGATTATGCCATTGCCCTACTCTAACTGCTGTTGTAAGGATTATTGAAGTAATGTATTTGAAACGTTTTGAATACTTAGAAAAGTGGTATCTAAAATCTGAAGTACTGTCATTGTAGGCATGCAAAATTTCAAACCTGAGCATGCTCTGGAAGTATTATAAGTCATACTTGTTTGAGCTAATTGGGAATCCTAAAGGCTGAGTCCCAAAGTCATCACTGGCCTTTTGTGACATTTGTGAATGTAAAATTGGTACTGATTTTAGCTTAATCTAGGCTAAAATCTAGCATTACTTTTCCTTTGTTGTAATTTCAGTGAATGATGCTACTAGACACAATTGGCATGTTGTAGTCCGTCTGCTGTGCAAGGACTTGAGCTGGGCCTGGGTGCAAGTCACTGCATTAAGGGAAAATGAAGAGAGACAAGAGCTGATTACTTGCAGCAACCACATCCTCAGGTAAAAGCATTCACTTTGTAGGTTTGGGCAGGCAACTTGTGGCTCTACAGATGTTCTTGCCTACCACTTCAATCAGCTCTTGTGATTGTGAGGGATAATGGGAGTTGTAAGCCAGAAAATCTAGAGACCAACAAGTTGCCCATGCCTGGTCCAGGTGGTATTCAGCAGAACTGCAACAGTAAGTGTTTAGTCCGAATTTGCCATGTTTGCCCAACTCATTTTATATGGGGCATCTACATGACACTGTCATCCCATCATTTATCCCCCTGTATTTTCCCTGTGGTTCTTCTACCTAGTCCAGCATGCAGAAAATGCAATGTTCAGGAAAAGTAGTAGTGTTTGGACATGTGCAGTGATATATCAGAAGGTACACTTTTGCTACTCTTCACGATTAACTTTCCACTGAATATAATTTTATCATTAATTCCCCAAAGCCCTCTTATAACTAGAACTAAATACCTTTTAGGTGTGTATGTGTTACATACCCATATATTAGCACAATCATGCTTAAATGAAAGGAAGTTAAAGCAGTAATCCTAATCCTGCACCCCCCTCCCATAATGAATATGTTTCCAGGGATGCTGTTCATGCAGCTGCAGATAACGTGTAGCAGTGCAGATGGAACAGGTGAAAGAAACCATTAACAAATGTAAAGACACAAATTGTTTTCAAATAGTGACTTGGTATATCTAGCAACTGAGCCATGAAGAAGAGGATAGTAGTGTTAACAAAACCTAGCATGGAAGAACATTATTTTGCTTCCTAATATCAAGGTGATATGCAGATCCTTCCAACACTACAGCATGGGAACAGAAGAACCTACAGTAGGAAGTTCTTCTAGTCCTTTTCTGTACGGAGACCAGCACAAAGGGACATTTTTATCAGAGGCTCTATTGCTAATATTAAACAGATGTGAGTGTGTAGGGGAAATGTACATACTAGGTCATGCAAGAACTAGGTCATAGTAGAACAACCATAGTGCTCATTTATATGGACAGTGAGCCGCTGACTGATCTTATTCAGGGAAGTTCTTGGGGACAAAGTTTCCCACATATGAACATCTGATTTGTTCCATGAAAACAATGACAGTGTAATGTAATCCCTTATCCACTGCATGTATGTGTGCTATAAATACTCTAAAAAGTGAAAATTATTTTTAACAGTACAGAATCTGGGGAACCAGGGATGCCGACGGCTTCTATTGGCTGCTGAGGATAGGAACCGCCAAAAGAAAGGGTTTTCCTTACCTTCACAAAACTGTAGTTCCAACAGTTCCTTGGCAGAAAAAACCATTGTCTTTACCAGCAATTCCACAGTGTTTTAGTCTGCCTGGTACTGCACAAACATCTCATTTCCTACGTCTACAATTTGAATTGGCTCCAATATAAATAGGTTTTACAAATGGCTTCTTTGGTCTTCTATACTACAATATTTGCAAGTGATGCATTCTACTATAAAAGGTGCTGTTGGAGTCTCCACAAGCTGGTAGCTCTCTTATGCCTTCAGACTTTGGTTATGCCACATCAGTATTAGAGGTCCATATTTTTTATGACTGCCGATGTCAGTAACATCGTACTGGTATAACCTGAAGTGCTTTTTCCAGTGCATGCTTGACTTTTGTTTTTATTCCCCACAGGGAGGAAGAGGGCCTCTATATCCAGAGCCAAGACCGCCAGCATGGAACTGTTTCTCCAGCTACCCTAGATCTCAGATACTATTCCAGAGAAACAATGCAGCAGACAAAGCCAGACAAAGTCAGCCTTTTCTATCAAGAACAAGCACTGGTCAAAGACAAGGCACTCAAGTACAATCCCTGCCAGCTTCTTGATCTTTCTGAAGAGAAGATGCTGCCTACTTCCCTCCAGCCTCTATTACCAACTAGCTTGCCTGTCCCTAGCATGGGTGCCAATGCAACCACTGTGCAGGGGACTCAAGAAACCAGATGTCCCATCCCTGCTGGCTGGAACAAGTGTTCCTCCTGCCCAGACAAAGCAGGCAGTCTGTCCCCCTTGAACACTTGTGCTCTCAGCTCCCCAGAAAATGCATATTCTCCTGACAGCAGCCCGTCCATGAACTTTTCTCCTTTATGTGAAGAAAGACCACCTATGGGGATGTTCTCAACAATGGGTTCAAGTCCGGATCCAGACAGATGGGCCATCAATATTCTGGCTGAACAAATCCATTCCTTAGCTGAAATCTTCTCTCAGTATGCTAAGCAGAAACCTCAGGAGCCTCCCAGCATCCCTTTGTCAGCTGGACAGTCTACTGAGGACATCAACATGGTACCTAGACAGGGCTGGGGGCCTAACGGAACTCTAGATTTCCCTGAGGAACTCTCTGTGGATGAAGAAATCATCGCCAACATCTTAAGCAACATCCTAGACCATGATAGCCTGAATCAATCCACTTCAGAGCTGGGATCAGTGGGCAATGCTCATGTGCCAAATGCCGAGCCACAGATTTCTCTGCTCCAAGCACCACTATCAGAAGCAACTCCCTGCTTGGAGCAGTGCTTCTTCATGCATCCTTTGTCTTCCTCTGTATCATCTGATTCCCATGTCCCAAGTTCCCAGTGGGATTGCAATTTCTATACTGCACCTCAACAAGGTAGTGCTCTTGCTTCATCATTATTATAGTTTGTGTAACTAATAAAGCCACTGAGGCTAGAATCATCCTGCTCAGTTTATTCAAGATATCCATAAACCACATGATCTTTCAGTACATGAAAAAAATTAAAAATATCCAAATCTATGAGGGGTGTTTAACTACAGTGACCCAAACTACCCAGAAACAGTGCATCCCTGGAATTTAAAACAATCTGTGTGTTTAGTAATCCCAAGGATATGTTTCACAGCAGCTGCTGCATGATTTGCCCATGTATGCATCCAAACTGAAAATAAGAATTCATATGCGAGATTCCTGGTTCAGTTAAAATGGAGAGCACTGTCTCCATCGTTGGAAAATGGGGCCCCATAATAGCTGCAGTGGGCTAAAAATAGTGCCGACAGGCAGATATACTAACAGAGTTAAGACTTGGCTGATCTCTCCCATTCTGCAACTTGTCACCTTCAGTTCAGTTTGAAGGTTTAACAGAACACAGAATCTCAGGGAGGGGCAAGGGTGAAAGTTATTCTGCTAGAGGGAACTTGCATGATTAAAGATTAGGTGTATACACTGGAGGGAAAAATGAGATTCCTTTTTCCTCCTCTTGGAGAAGGCAAGGTCATCATTTACAGTATGAAATGTAAATGTTTTACAAAGCAGCTCTTACCCCGTACCATCACAACAGGAGGGTTTGTCAGATAGCAATTCTAAAAGGAACAGAGGATGTCAGTTTTATAAAGCTCCAGGAAGCAGAGACAGAGGGGGTGGCATTCTTCCTCTGTATATATTAAATGGGAACTCTGTGGAGGTAGTGTGGAACTTCACAAATTACTGAGCTTAAGATAACATTGCATAGCAATTGTCAGGGACTCACGTTTTCAATGATTAAGAGTCAACTCTGTATAAAGCAACTGCTCACTATGGTGCCAAAATTGCTGCTATACCTGTTTATAAGGGGAAAGGTTGGAGGCCTTCAAGGAAATAGACAAGTTCCAGAGAGTCCCTCTCATGCCACTTTTGTAGCCTTCTAAAAACAGGAGCTACGGGTGGCATTTCTAGTATGGTATCCATGGGCATCAATGTACTTAAACATTTCTGTTGGCATCCCCTAGGCTCCCCACCCCTTCCAATTTTTATTTTGCATGATTTATAAAAAATGTATTTTCCCATTTGGAGTCTGGTATGCTAAAGCTGCACTCCAGCACTTTATATTCAAAAGAATGTTTTTTGCCTTCTGGGAAACCAGTGTTTTGTGACCAGCCATGACTATTTTGACAGCCATTTTAATGAACAGCCCAGTCTCTCCCCACCCAAGGAGGCCATTTTATGAGAGCACCCTTGAGATTCTCAAAATTCCACAGGTTCATTTCCAAGAAAAATTTGGGCACCCCTCAGCTGAGAAGCCACAACAAGAGGCAGGCTCCATGGAGTTTTAGCACAGCCCTTCGCTCCGCTTAATTCCTGTGTTTCCTTCCCACAGGTGCCTTTCCCGAGGCCATGTTCTTCTGAACCTTCGCGTGGCCCAGCGATTCCGAAGGCGTCGCGTGCACGTGTCACGTTCAAGTTGGTCTAACTGACTTGACTGGCATGCTCAAGAGTCCGCATGTTAGCAAACAGACGGGAGGAACAAAAAATTTTGGACAGGGGCAAAGACGGGGGGGTGGAGGACGAGGGAAAATGCTCAGGCGCATGATGGTCTAGAAACCTGGCCCTTTTCATGGCCTCTTCCACGTGGTGGAGTCAGGAAAAGTGGCGACTACAGAGCAACTACGGCTGAGCAACCTGCAGGGAGCGCTGCCGCGACATCCCTACCGGGCGCACGGAACGTGGGACTGCGAGTTCACCCCGGCGTTACAAATAAAGGAATGAACAACAACCACCCGACTCCGACCTTTTTCTCTTTGCATGTGGCGTAGGCAGGGGGCGGGCATGAGCGTACCTCCGCTCTGCAGGGAAGGCTGCCCCGCCCGTCCGGAAACGTGGTCTCCACGTGCGCATGCGCTGCCAGTGGAGTGGCGCGCCCCGCCTTTTGTGACTCCCGAGAACAAGGCCCGGTTGCCAGGAAACGGGAAGGAGCCGCGGCGGCGTGGTCTACAAGCCGAGCAGTGCGTGGAGGCAGCCCAGGGAGAGGGACCGACTGTTGCCTTGTGGAGATGAGCGTGGGCAGCGCGTCAGCGGCAGGTAGAACTCGTGTCTGGCAGCAAGCCCGGTCAGTTCGCACGTCCTTCGCTAGGCACCGCCCCTTCCGGTGGCCGACCCCCTGCTCTTTTCTCGCACCACCGGCTCCCCACGCTTCGTTACTCGGGGTTCGTGTGAAGTGGGGGAAAGAGGGGGCGAGGTGTGTAGGGTCAGCGCTGCGGTGGTTGGGAATAATTTCTCGATCTGCCAGGAACGGTTTCTGACGGATCCGCTAAAGGCCACGGTAGCTAAGTGAACCTCCAGGTTGAAACGCAGTGAATCTTCTGAGTATCAGATAATGGGGAGGGAAAAGATGGGTGGGCTGCTGATCCGTTTCTGCCCGGTTGATGGACAGCTTCTGAACTAGGTGGGCCGATCCAGTCGTGTTTTTCTTATGAGTAATATTCAGTATTAGGCCTATGGAAATAAGTAGGACTTGAAGTTAACCGTAGTCACAAAGTTATTCTATTTATTAGATTTACACTCCGCCTTTTTTCTTACAAAGAACTCAAGGTGGCTTCCATGATACTTCTGCTTTCAAACATAACCCCACAACAACAACCCTGTGGGGTAGGTTGGGCTAAGTGACTCTCCCAAAGTCTCCTAGTTGGCTCCATGGCTGAGTGGAAACTAGAATCCAGATTGCCTGAGTCGCAGTCCTGTACTCTTAACCACTACGTCACACTGACTCTAATTTAGTCTAACTTAAGTCTCATTCATGTTGGTAGGTCTATTTTAAGTAGGATTATCTCAGATACTACCCCATGCCTTTATTTGTGGATCTATAGCAGTCAGCCACCATCTGGTGCTCTTCAGACGTTTTGGACTTCAATTCCCATTAGCTCCAGCTAGTCTAGTCAAGAATGTTGGGAGTTATAGCTCAGAACTTTCAGAGTGCACCTGGTTAGGAGAAGGCTGATATAAAACTTCCTGTAGAATGGGCACTTCAATCATGCACCCCACATTACTCTTAGATATTGAACACAAGCCACTCATAAGAGAACATTTAGTGTTTTGAAGTTAGTTGTTACTGATAGGAAGGTGATAGATAACATCATCTATCCCTTCTGTTTGGATGAAGCAGCCATCCCTTTCTGTTGTTTGTGCCACGTGTTCACAGAACATGTGCACTGGCCCTGACCTCACCCTGCATCCAAGAGCTGGAGGGAAACTTTTCAGAAATGGAAGTCCTGGTTATGTGCTTGCTAGAAAGAACCTGCCCGCATTAGGCTTGCCACCTTTTTACAAGCACCAGATCTAGGTATTTAACCTCTGCATAACAATTAGGAATGTCAAAGTAGTGTTTGAAGTTTTGGTTATAGTGAAAGCTGCACTTTCTGAATTCTGCTTGGAATTAAAGGTGTGAAATTCTTTAAAATACAGCACACCTGGGATATTTCCTTATGTTTTGCTATGAGCATATCTTCATTCTGGAATCTTACTGCTTGGGAGAAGAAGCAACTTCGACAATGAACTAGATTACCTCCATGCCCCACTCCTATCTCTATCCTGCATTCCCGTGAGCAATTACAGAAGCTCCCATGCTGATGTGTGTGTGCACTGTCCCTTTTTCATAAAACATTTCACACTTTAGTTCCATGGGTCAGAATTGTTGCAGCACAGTGATCTCTAGAACTAAGGAGGTTTGCTTTAACTGAATCCGTTGAAGCAATGGATATGCATTAGAGGTATAAGAATTCCCTTGGTGAATGGACCCAAGATCCCTAACCAGGTAGATTTCCCATGATGGAGACGACACCATTCCTCCACTAGAAATCCAGTAGACAGGCAGCATCCCTGATAGGCAATTTTCAGGGGCATCTCAAGGCGGTGCATTTTGAGGAAGGAGGAGAAGGTGGAATCCTTGCCTTGCAGGTGGTGGGGCATCCTGCACCTCTACTCTTCCTACATTGGATTCTCAGTGGTCCTTAATGCAGAAGTTTCACTCTTAGCATTTCCAGAGAAGAGCCATTGAGCTATCATTATATAGAACTGTACACTTGGAAGTGTTGTACACTTCCAAATCCATTTGAATGTTGCATTGGTGGGAAATAGGCCACTTATATTTCTGTCTGTAAGGCATGTGTTTTTGTTCATAGCACAGTTATTCTTATTCTACTTCCCAAGGTTTCTGTACCAAGCACAAGCCCCCCTGTGAAACAGATGTCCCCTCCTACACTTCCCTAGAAAAAAGCTTGATTGGCCCAGTATGCAGTTACGAATTGAGTTTTGGAGAAGTGTTTTGAAATGCTGGAAAGGCTAATCATGATTGTGCACAGCTTCCAATTGCATGGAGAGCTTTTAACTGAATTTAGCCAAAAGCAATTACAGCTTCTTCAGAACAGAAGGAGGTAGGATTAGAGGAGCAGGGATTTGCATGTGCATCTTTATGGCTTCTTCAGGATGAGACATTTTAAATGCCTGAAGAGGACTATGGTGGATGTGGAAGAGGAATTGACTGCGAGAATGCTGGGATGGGGTTGGATTTGGGTTGGGGGCAGTTGTAGCCACTTGGAAAGCATATCTGTGTATAATGAGTTCTCCTTCCCCACCTCAAGTAGGACAGAGATGAATGCTATAAATAAAGATGAGGAATCTGTAGTCCTTGTAATGTTGTAGGACTTCAACTCCCACCATATCTGACCATTAGCCACTCTGGGTGGGTCTGATCAGAGCTGAAGTCCAACAACATCTAGAGGGCCACATGTTCTCTAGCTTTGCTATTTGGAGTACAAAACAAATAGCACTGTTCATCAGCTGCTGTAAAAATGTCTATAACATAGTGCTCAGAAGTCTGTTAATTGATTGATCTTTAAGTTGCATTTTACTCTCAAGAAAGTGTTAAATTGTGTAGCTCTTACCTATGATTAAATAGCAAAATAATATTTTGCAATCTTATACTGCAGTTCTCAACATGCTTAACTGCTGATGATTGTAGCACTTAACTTTAAGTAAACTTGCATAAGACTGTACTGTAAATCCTGGGCCAGACCTAGGATGAATGCATTAGGAGTCGGCCTTGTATGTTAAAATCAAAGGCTCTTCCTGTGCGGAAGACCCTTATTTCTCCTCAAAGAACTGAGCAGGAGTTGTCCTTGAAGCCTCTAATGATTTTTTTCCCTCCCTTCTGCTGAGTTCCATGTAATGGAAGGTAACCCTTACTGAGTCATCACTTCGAGGATCTATAAACTCCCCCAGCTTTGTAAAGCATCAAGTAGCAGATACCATCTGTGCTTAAACTTGTAGAGACTGAATGTGTAGCTAGATGCCTTCTCACTGTCAGATCTTTAGTGCATTATAGAATAAAGGGGTACCCGACTCCTCCTTTCTTGGCTGGAATGAAATGAGAGTCCTGGCACCAAGTTTCTACTCTAAGAGTTGAAATCCAAGATACAGTTGTCCCTTGTACTTACACATATAGACACACAATCAGTGCCATAGTTCCATCTCAGAGAGGTGACTCCTGGTGTAGCTGTTTGGGTACAAGTTGACATGCAAGCTAGGAAATGGCACTGGACATTGAACCACTGTCTTTAGGACATCTTGAACTACACTGAAATGGAAGTTTAATTGTAGCTTCTTTTTCAGCTTGAGGCAACTGAGTTGAAGTATAAAAGCATATACTGAAAGCCTTATGAAGCAGCTGCGTGGGAGTAAAGGAGGGGGCCATCCCCCAGAGAAGAGTTCCTCCTCTGGTAAGGACACTATCACCCCAAGAATACAGACTTCAGATGACCATGGGCAGATCAACATCCTGAATCCAAAACTGTTGGCTCAAAAGCGACCTCTGCAAGGTTTGAGCAGTGGCACTGCTGGAAGTGCCAATGATGCCAAAAGACCAAAGCTCCTGCCTGAAGTGGGTTCTGGCCAGGATTCTGAAGATGAAGAGTCAAATGACAGTGATTATGAGAGAGTGGAGAGTGATAACGATGCCAGTGATGATACAAACAGTGATGACGATGACGAAACTGACAGTGATGCCTCTGAGAGTAGTAATGAAGATCCTGAAGAAACAACAAGCCAGCCTTCTTCAAGGCCTGATATAACAAAAGGTAAACACTGATTGCCTGGAAAAATTCAATAAATCGTGCATCTCTGCGTCACCTATCAGCAGTTCTGAGCTTTTCTTTTTCTAGTGGTTTCTGCTTCTAAGTAACTATCTTCATTGTGGTTGCATCAGTAAATATTAATATGCATTACAACCATTATTCAGTTGTGTTTCTGTTTATCGCTTAACAATATTGCAAAATTGCCTTGTCTTTGGCTACATCACATGTTTCATGCTGCCCCTATCAGAATAGGGTTTATCTATCTTTCTTTGCTTTTTTGCTGTTACACAAATACCAAGCAAGGTGGAATAATCAATTGCATATCTATGGCATCCTTTTAAGGAAACTTGTTAGGATCCAAAGAGTTACTGCTATTTCTTTGGTGTAACCACTTTGACTTAAATGCTAAATACCACTTTACAAACATGTAAGGATTATTGAGCTCAATTGTCAAGGCAAGTCAGTGTTTCCTCTGCTGCAGACTATGGCAGTGGAAAGGAGGCTTCGACAATCGTGGCTTGCCAAGGTCACTGAGAGAGTACATTGCAGGCATGAAATTTGAACTGGCAATTATCTAGTTCACATTGCCACTAGCCTGCACTACCTCTCATTTTGGGCCAAGGCATCAGTGGCATAGCCTCAAGTTTGACTGGTGACCATCTATAATGTTGGCTAGTCCTTAGGTTGTGGGGTGTTCTATTCCCATGGTGGTGGTCTCCAAATAGAGACCTTTTCATTTTCCTCAGCTGATTTCTTTTTCTTACAGGTTCTTGCAGGATTGGAAAAGAGCAACAAACCTATAATGGCATAATCTCTTGTCAACCATAGGCGCTTTTACCATAAGTGGTTTGTTGGTCTTTAAAGTGCCATAAAAATTTTTGCTGTTTTTGCTGTGGTAGACTAACATAGTTCCCCCTCTGGAAACTGATGTTGACATAGTCATCTGAAATATTTTTGCCACTGATTTGAGGCCTGAAATATGTCATGTTCATTGATACCTCTCTCCAGAAATTGTTGCAAGGTGTAGAAGGTTCATAGGAATGGGAACTGAGGAATAAAATAGGATTGAGATACAAATGTGGGTGAGGAAAATGAGCATTTTTATGTGAGTCATGTTGACTGCTCTTGTAAGCAACTGAACCTTATAATAAATCAGCTTAGTTTCTACATAAAAGCCAAGTTTGCCTCTTGGTAATTGCACAGATTTCCTTTCTTTCTCAGGTCTGTTGAGAATTGACTGTACTTTGGAGTCTTAAATGTATGCTTCAGCCTTCAGCCAAAGCTACAGTTTGGTCTCTTCCACAGAATTAGCTTATTAGGGCATTGTGGAACTGTCAGTAAGAAACAGCCTGGAGCATTAATAAAGAATAAATGATGCCACTCAAACATGTTTTTCCATCTTGAAAATATGCTTCCTAAATGCAATAAGCAATCTGATAAGATATTTGTAAAAGTATTTGAGTGAGACTTCCTAAGGCAGCCTTTTAAGTTGGCATTGACATTCTTGTTTCAATGCATAAAAACAAGATTTGTTCATAAGAATTGAGCTGCGATGAAATCTCTCAAAACTATGCAGGCATCATGAAATTCAAGTAATCAGAATCTTGCCTGTCTGCTTTTCAGAATCATGAGATTAGCTGAAAATTTGTGTGGTTTAAAGATATTTAAATTATACCCAATTTAACCTGTTCTTGGTTCATTCAGCTATATGTTTATCACCACTGCAAAGGCTAGAAACATATTCAAATAATAACTGAGATTTCTTTTATAGTGGTGTACTTCCAAGTGATATACCTCTAAGAAAATTCCATTTAACTCAAAAACTGTAATTTTAAAAATATGGAGAGTTGGCAACCCTGAAAGTGATGCTTTTACACGACTTAAAAATGGCTGGTGTACCACAAAGTACAATTATAAATAGCTGTGTGGTTAATTGGGAAGGTATCTAATGAGTTCAGCAGGGACATGGATTAGGACTCATTTAGCATAATAAATGGATCTAGAACTAGAAGCAAGGAGTACTAATGAAATTCAAATATGAAAATAGAAGATGGTGAGAACACAATCAATTAGCATACAAATAATAGGTGGCTATTCGGTGGCACAGTATATGGCCAAATACAATGACTTTTTTGCAAGAAATAAATCATTGGGAGAAAATTAATTTTAAATGCAGGTTGGGAAGAAAGGTGTATAGAGAGATGGAGGAATCAGTGCAGAGCTGATACAGCTTTTGTCGTCTTTTTCACAGATGTTCAACCTGCCAAATACAAATGCTGGTTGTGAGAAAAAGCAGAGAAAGACAGACTGTTCCTTAGGCATTGCAGTATAGTAGGGCTCAGATCCAAAGGTGTCTTTCTTCCAGCAGAAGTGAAATTGCTGCTGTAATACATTTCCCCTCCCTCCTGTAGCCTCTCCTGCACTCTTCCCCATACCTATTCACAGCATTGCAGGACCCTCTTAAACAGATTTGGGGTGTGTGCTGGGAGTTGCATGGAGGAGAAGGAAGATATTGAAGGAAGATCAAGAGATTGCATCATGAGGGTGTTTGGGTGAACAGTTTCAGGCAAAAATGGAGGAGTTGGTGTAGAGAGCGGAAAGGCTTTGCATAGTTGATGCTGGTCAAACCAGAGGAGTAAGGGAGTGAAATGCCATGAGGGACATAACAGTAGAGCTGGGAACAATTGGCTACTTATCTGTTTGTGTGACCAATGCACTCGCCTTCACTTCATATGACATGACAACCCACTGCAGAAATAACCCATGATGAGACTGCAGTGCATGTGATTGCCATTTTGAACATGTGACCCTTGCTTGAGGGTTGTCGTGCAGTGTGAACCCAGTCAGCAGGGGCAGGGATTAACTCTTGCATGTGCAACCTGGAGCCCACAGGTGCTGTGGCTCAATGGCCATGGTGTGCTATCCAGACTAGGCCATTGCGACTGGGAGGCACTTCAGGCCATCACTTGTCTGTCTTTGTAGCATGCTGGTGGTGCTGTGGCCTCTTCCAGGACAACTGAATGCTTTTTGGATGAAGGGGAGATTTATAAAGGGAGTGAATTGAGGAATACATATGTTAAATGTATGGCACATCCAGTCATGTTTTGAATTTGGTTTCCCTGCATTTTAATAAAAGGTTTAAGAACGAAAAGCCCAAGGAAAGGCCTTGGTTATCATGAGAGCTATAAAGAGTCTTCGGAGGTTTTTTATCACAATTTTATTTTATGGTGATTTTGTGGGCTTTATTACTTGCCTGGTACTTCAGAGAGATTTCAGTCTATATTAGGCAAATGCTGGCGATGAGAGGAGTAGCGGAAAAGGCGTAGGATGAGTCTTAATAATACAAATAAAGATGAGTTATAGTGAGTGAATTCAGCTCAGCGATTTGCAAAAAAGACTTCAGTGAGGAGGAATAGGCAGAGCTGCCAACTGAGACAAGCTTTGGAAAGCTATTTGACCATCATCCTTCGAGCTGAATCTGAATGGAGCAACGTTCCCCATCCCCCACCTCAGCTTCCATGGGAAAAACCTTTGCAAACTTGAATGAAATGGAATTGAGTGCTCTCTTCTGAATTCCTCACATAACATCCGGTGGCTGCTGCTTAGAATTTTGCCAATTTTGGAAGGAGAAATTGGGGTGGGTAGGTTTAGATTAAAGCTCTTTAAGCTAACAAGCTGAAAGTCCTGATTTGAGTAATCAATATTTAATCAGTTTTTCCATTTGTATTGCACTTGTCTTCTGAAAAAAGACAGAAGACAAGTAGATTTCCATTGGTAAATGTTGCCATTAAGCAAATTGGCTTCCTGCAATTTGCACAAAAATTAGTCCATCTTTTTGCTATTTAACAAACCACCCTGTGAATGGTATTTATGTGTTTAAAACAATTAGATACCTTAATGTTCTCAGGTTCTTATTAATTACAGTATAGCAGGATGTGCATACTCATGCAGAAGTTTTACAGAGCATATGACTTACTTATTAAAAATGCAGTTAGGATTTTATCCTTAAATGTTCAGCAGTATGCATTTCTTAGTACTTGTCCTTCGGACTAGGAACCCAGTTGGCCACACTTTTACTGAATGTTGCAGCTAACAGTTTTGGTCTGGCTACACATTTGAGTGGCACTTGGCTTTGGCTGTCCTGGTTTTGCCTGTTCTTAGTATTATTTAATTATCAGTTACATTTATATTTTGCCTTTTTTCTTCCTCCTCTCCATTTTATTCTCACAACTCTGTGCGGTTTGTTAGGCTAAGAATAAATGAGTGGCTCAAGGTCTCCCAGTGTCATAGCTGGTCTTCTTCCCTTCCATCCAAGCAAACCAGGACTGAGACTTCCAACTAAATGTCTTTATGATTGTAAAGCTGACTAGCTGGCTGGCCTTGTGATGCAAAAGAAGAGTACTGCAGAAATCGCAAACAGAATACCTCTCCTCCCTTCCATACCTAAAAGAACTGATTCTGCCTTCAAGGTGGATCATGCCGCTTTTGCTCCAGTTGCCTAGAGTATCTGATACAAGAAATCTGCCCTCTTACTTGACACCATATGATCAGATTAATGATGTTGTATCCTCCCCATTCCATATCAGCATACTTGCTAGATTTTCCAACAAAATCTGAAATTACCCAATTCTCAGTTACTTCTTGCTTTATCTTTTGGGTCCTTTGGCCTTGGCAATTTCGTTGTGAGTTCCTGCCCACCCTCCACCTCTGAATCAGGATCTAAGTCATCAACCTTGGAAAGCTTTATTTTAAGAGGAGTGGGCTTCATGGCTGAGTGGGGACTAAAACTCAAATTTCCTAATTTGCAGTCCCAAATGACTGCACTGCACTGCACTGGCTCTCAGTGTTATAACATTAGTGTCAGCAAGCAGGTCCTCTCTCCTGGATCAAATCCTTCACTAATGGACTGTTGTACCTATTAAGAACTGTATTGCTATTCTAACAAAGACTTGAACCAGGAACCTTCAACACAAAGATACATGATCATATGAAAAATGACATGT